GTTAACAGTTGGTTAGACGTGTGGGATTGTAAAATAAAAGTTAACAATTGTTTAGACAAGAAGTTCATTTCTAATCAAGCAATTTCAGTCGTTTAATTTTTAAACAGGTCAATCTTAGTTTATTTCAAATCAAATAAATCTGAGCAATATATTTTGATAAAACAGTTAAAATCACGGTTAAACCAGTGAATCAGTTAAACCGAAAATGATTCAGCTTAATCGGCTAAGTCAAAAGACCAACCAATTTATAGCAAAATTAATTAATTAAAACTTTTAAATTTTATTTTAAAATTTAAACAATCTTGAACTGAAACATGCACAATACTACAATATTAAATGGGAGTATAAGATTCATTTTATGCAATTGAAATAATTCACTTTTTCATTTTTTTTCTCGATATGGGATTGTAATTATTTTAAAGTTAAATATTATGAGAGTTTCAAGATATCATACAAAACTATTTTTAAAATGAAAACCTCTATGTGGAATTGTAAAATAAAAGTTAAATGGAAGCTAGCCAACGGAGATTTTCTTAATTGTTTAAAATTAAGACAAATAAATAAATAAAATTGGTATGAGATATTGATCATAGGACTTTTCACTAAAAATCTCATTTTGCTTATATAAATGGGAGCATAAGATTCACTTTATGTAAGTGAAATAATTCATTGTTTTCTTCTTTTGTTGACGTGGGATTATAAAATAAAAGTTAAATAGAAGCTAACCAATGAGGATTTTCATAATTATTTAAAATAAGAAAATTCAATAATTTATATAAATGGGAGCATAAGATTCACTTTATGTAAGTGAAACAATTCACTTTTTCTTTTTTTTCCCCGAGGTGAGATTGTAAAATAAAAGGTAAATAGAAACCAGCCAATGCAAATTTTTTTAATTATATAAAATTAAGAAAATTCAATAATTTTAGGAGGGGTTGGAGGTCCTAAAAGGCTTATTCCTCAAAACCTCTTTATAAGATTTACTTTATATAAGTGAAATAATTTACTTTTTATTTTTCTTTTTTCTCTGATGTGGGATTGTAAAACAAAAATTAACAATTATTTAAGCAAAAAGTTTATTTCTAATCAAGCAATCCAAACCTTTCAATCTTTATTTGAGTCAATCTTTAATTTATTTCGAATCAAATAAATCTAACGAGTGTATTTTGGTAAAACCGGTAAAATCACAGTTAAACCAGCAAATCATTCAAATCAAAAATGATTTAGCTTAATCGGTTAGGTCAAAAGATCAACCAACTTACACAAAAATTAATTAATTAAAACTTTTAAATTTTATTTTATTAAAATTTAAAAACAAGCTATTAATTTAAAATTAAAATTAACACGATATAAATTTAAAATTATAATAATCTATTCCATGATTTATAAATTTTAAATACTAATTTAAAATTATCATAATTATCTCATAATTTTTGTATTAAGGAGCAGTAAGAGTGTTGTTGAGATTATCAATATATCTGTATATTTTACAAAAAAATACTTTTAAGGAAAGATATTATGAGAGTTTCATAACCTTATACAAAATTATTTTTAAAATCAAAACCTCGATGTGGGATTGTAAAACAAAAGTTAAATAAAAACTATCCAATGGGGATTTTCTTAATTGTTTAAAATTAAGAAAATTAAAAAAATTAGTATGAGATATTGATCATAGGCTTCTAACTAAAATCTCCTTTTACTTATATAAATGAGAGTATAAGATTCATTTTATGTACATAAAACAATTCAGTTTTTCTTTCTTACTACAACAAATTTGGGATTTAAAGACGAAACAAATTTGTCCCAAAATATATACATTTCGTCACCCAAACTAATTACAATGAAAAGTTTTCGTCACCTGTTTTGTCGCCAAAGTGTCGTCATTAAAAGGTCTTAGAGACAAAAAAATAAATTTGTCATTGAAAAGGATAAATTTGTGACGATTTTTGTTGTCTCCAATACACTCTATTGGGAACGTACTTGTAAGTAATTAGTGACAAAATATTTTGTCATTACAAGAAGAAATTAGAGACAAAAGTATTTTGTCATAAATATAAGAAGTAGAGACAAAATAATTTTGTCGCGTTTAACATAAACGAAGACGAAAAAAATTTGTCAAAGAAGCTACCAATAGAGACAAAAAAAAAATTCATCATTAAAAATTATTAAATAATGTCAAAAAAAATTCGTCACACATTGAGAGTAATAGTGACAAAATGTGACTATTTTTCGTCATGACAAATTCATTTAGCGACGAAATAAAGAATTCATGACAAAATTAGTCATCCACCTAGTCCAAATAAGGGACAAAAAAAACCTTCTTTAGGGATGAAAAATTTTGTCACTAATTCCATAATATTTTTTTCTACATTATATACTTATTTTATCAAAATCTGAATTTTAGTTCAACAAATATAACCATGTTCATGTTGAAACCTTTTTAATATAACAATTCTATCACAACTTAACACGCTATAAATCAATACATTTACGAATTAACAAAATGAAAATATTCATTCATCATTACAAATAATTTCATCCTAATAAAATAAAATAGTTCAATATCCACGAAATATCCAACAGTTATAACTAGTGCAATGTCCACAAACTATCCAACAGTTATAACTAGTGCAATTCCACCAAACATCCAACAATAGCTAGTGCAACTCCACAAAGTATGTGTATCCTTATCAAACAAAAATGAACATTCAAGCAAATTAGATCATTGTTGTACGTCAAAAATGCCACCCAATCCAATCTGCAAAAAAATAAATTAAAAAGTTTTAGTAACTAATCAATTATACAAAAGATTAAAAACATTAGTAACTAATGAATTTACAATTAGATCAATTATACAATTTATCCCTCTAACAGACTTTTTTTGAGATTATGGAACAAAAAATTAATTTTAAGGCTAATTCACAAATGATGCATCCCATTAATGTGCTGTAAGTTCATACAATTTATATTGGTCCCTTCTAAGGTGTTTCTGTTGGTTCTTGTACAAATCTGTAGTTGTGTGATAATTTAGCATTTCGACGGCCTTTTTTTAAGCTTTAAGTATGGAGAAAAAAGTATTTTTTAGACTAATTCACAATTTATATATCCCGTGCACCTATACAAATTGGGTGTCCTATGCATATTTTCATTACTTCTTAATTCTTCAAACATATATTCTTTTATAAAATTTGTTATATTAAAATTAATATACTTTACCAAGAAGTATGTTCACTTGTAGATGAGTCCCCTCCACTTCCAAAGTGTCCAATGAATCCTTTCCTCCTCAAAAAGTTGACGCCATCTGCCATTATCTCCCCTTGCTTCTTCCTACCCTCTTCAAGATCTTTTATTTTATTGTTCTGCATTTGTATTTGTTCCTTCTGTGTCTCTATTTGCATATCAAGACGCTTCACATAATCATTTATTTTAGCATATATGGTAATGGTCCTCCTAATAGAGGATGAAGATCTCATGCCAAGTTCCTTCACGTAGCCAAACCTTGGCTTTAGAACTTTGATTAACAATTCTTCTGCAGTCAAAGAGATTGATCCCAGCTGTGAGAGATAATCAGCCTGTGTCTGTATCATATTTTTCTATCAAATATTAAATAATTAAATAATTATTAGAAAATTAAATAAGATTATAACAAATAGTATTCTAAAATTTTATTAATAAAAATTGTGATATATACTCACATAATTACCCTGAGCTTTAGACGAGATCCACTCATGTGTTTTCTCATTATAATGAGTTTCCTTATAAAACTCTTCTAGATCAGGTAGCATCTTCTTTTCTCATGTCTAATTTGATAGACCAAATATTCAATAAATAAAACTAAGAATCTAATATAATTCTTAAAGTGCTAGGATACATACTAGTTTTTCTACTCTAACAGGGATTGACCTAGAACCACACCTATGTTTTGTACTCATCTTTCCTCTGTTTGTGGTGTTGGCTTTTCATTGTTCCTATATGGAAGAATGATCAATATAACAATGAAATGTATAATTAGTAAGACAAATATGTTGGCTTTTGATTATTCCTGTAAGGAAGAATGTACCAATATAACAATGAAATGTATCATTAGTAAGAAAAATTTAATGCTTGATAATAAAGTAATATATAAAAATGTTCGAGTAAGTTACATGGAAACCAATATAAGTTCAAACTGCAAAGTATTCAAGAAAGCAACAATACCACAACCACAATACACAAAATTATGTCGAACACCTAGATAAGACAGATTTGACACATAATTGGTAATAAGAAATTTACCCAATGAAATGAGATTTGAAAACTGATGCATGCCAATTATCACATAATATGCTGCTCCAAACTCAATAATCTACATGCTAGGGTACCAATTGAGTTCCTAGAAAGAATTGCATTGTTCCTCTCTATCCTTTTCCTATATATCATTTCAACTTAAAAGATATTTCAAATTATTCACTAGTATCATTCAATTCTTTGAAAAATAGATTAGAGGACTTGGTGAGATTTCATCATAAGATGATTTTTGTGGGCGAAAAAAGAAAAAAAGAGAAATTTACACCATTCACAAATAGGGGGCATATAAGCATGGGCAAGATAGATTGTGAAAAAATCCATTTACATTTCACAAGATATGGAACAATTATTGATACCAAACTCATAACCTTTTCTTTCTTCCACAACTCTATCAAATCTCAAGTTCTGTCTCAATACCCTGTATTAGTTACTCAGCTAGTTGCTTACCATTATCATGAAGCTTCAGACCAAACCCAAGAACAACCAGAAAATAGTAAAGGCACATACCAGGCCAAATACTCTACAGTAGTTGGGAACGATTGTCCTAACTCAAAGCATGCACTCTATGGTTCAAAGAAAAAGTTTTCTAGATAAATACAATCGTAGAAACAGAAATCTTAGTTCTTTATTCTAAGATGTGAAAGGTGCACTTTAAAGAACCATTAATTAATCTCCTATTATGTGAGCCTTTCAATCCATGTTTACTGGTTTCCCTTTCTCATTTTCCCACTTATTTGGTTTTTATTATGTTCCACTTACATGCCTAGAAGATAAAGGGAAAAGAATACATATGGAATTTCACAACAAATTGATTGTGTTCTTTCTAGTTTTTTTAGAATCTCTCCCTATTCTAATCAAATTCTTTCTTCGCTAATATAATAAAAAAGATGAAAATGTTACCAGAAATTCTTTAGTGTTCCACTTTTTATCAATAAGATCTATCCACTTGGTAGGATCGACATTCTTCGGTGGGTGGTTTCTTGCATACTCCTCCCCTTTAGCCTCATTCAGCTCCATGAATTGTTTGTGCAGCCTATAAGTATGGTTACTCAATCTCCGACCAAATTTTATGTTCATTGCCTTCTCTATATCAACAGGGTCTCCTTGTAAATCAAATTGATCCTGCAAAAAATAGATAAGTCATAGATAATTCCTAAATAAAAAATAAAAAAATTACAATAAATAATTAAGATTTCTAACCTATTATAAAAATGAGTAAAATCTCCTATAAGTAGACAACGAACTTACATTCAAGCGTTGAAACATCGCCTCCTTAACGGAGGCATCAACATACTTCCACCTACGAACACTTGGATCTGGTAAACGAGTTCGCACTTCTACACCAATCTTTGAGGCTAGTTTTGAGGCATAGTCCCCTACCGGTGCACGAAATTCTGGAGGGATAGGCACGCTAAGCTTTCCATCTTTATCAACAAGGCCTTGAACCTCTTTGCCTCGAGTCGGGCCACGAGCACGCTTAGCAGCTGATATTGTGAAGCCATAATATTGAAATAGTATGTGAACAAATTTAATTAAGATCTCAAATCAATGTAAATAAAGAGTGTGTCTTACCAATAGTATTACCAGCAGTCACCTCAAGTTGAGGCTCCACATTGAGAGGTGGTGGCGAATTGCTAGTCACCTCAGGACGTGAAGAGGTATCCCCCTCTTCTAATGCGTGGGTCAATGCCTCATGATGAGATTGTGAACGGGCTCTCGATGGTATCTCTAATAGCTGAATAACATAATAAAATATGAATATATGTACAAAGATATACATGTCTATGTGTGTATGAATTGAAAGTAACAAGAAAGAATATATTTCACAATGCATAAATGTATAGTACCTCATGCTCAAACGAATCATAGGTTTCAGTGTCACTGCCATCTTCAGCCTCTGACGGTCGATAATCATCATCATTTTCCTCAATTGGTATTTGTTTTTCCTTCCTCAATTTCTTATGTTGAACCGTAGCCTTCAAACAAGTTGTTATATTCTTCACTCCTAGAGCATTCATTCTCTCACGGTTTTTATTAATATTCTTCATTCTTTGTTTCTCATAGTTCGTTACCTTCTTAGTTGCGGTACTTGGTTTGGTCAATTGCTTTTTTGTAGCGTCCATTTTGCCCAACTATAAAGCATAATTGAACATTTTTTTGGTGGATACGCATAATTGAACATTAGATGTAAAGAAAAGATAATTATATATTTCTATACATAAAGCATAAAGCAACAACAATCTCAACAAGTGGATATGTCATATAGGCTCTAAATCATTGAAATATGGCTAGAGTGATATGGATGATTTTTGTTTTTACCATTTACTTATCATAGAACAAATTAATTACAAAGCCATCAGACACACAATATGACCAATCAATGATAAACCTACATAACAGTGGATGAACCCCACAACTGAAATTCAACTACATTAATTAAGAACAACGTTCATACAGAAAGTGCAAAATAACTACAAATCCTAGTCTACATCAAGATCCATATCGTAATCCACATCAGGTTCGTCACACTCTTCATTTTGTTTGTCAACTCT